CGAGGCACGGCCAGCGGCGTGGCGGACGCGAGCGGGGGCGGGCGCGAGCCGCGAGCCGGGCGCGGCTGCGGGGTGCGAGCGCGGCGGGGAGGGAGTTCGAGTTCCACTTCCACATGTCGGCGCCGCTGGACAGGTCGGGGCAGCCGCCGCTCGCGTCCCCGGCCGACGAGCTCTTCTACAAGGGCAAGCTCTTGCCGTTGCACATGTCGCCGCGCGTCCAGATGGTCGAGGAGCTCCTCCTCGACGGCGCCGTCCGGGGCAGGGCCGGCTCGCGGCTCAGCGGCCTCGTCGTTAGCACCGCCCCCGCCACGCCGTGCGAGCGCTCCCGCGGCGTGTCGCCGGCCAACTCGTGCTTTGTGAGCGGGAGCTCAACGTGGAGGAGTTCTTCCGGGAGTACGCGGCCGGCATGGCTCTCGCCGGCAGCGAGGAGAAGCCCTGGTCCAGGAGGCTCCGGTTCGTCCGGCAGCTCAACCTCGGCCGCCAGCTCAAGGCCTCCAAGGCCTACCTCAAGACCATCTTCGCCGGGAAGCAAGCGGGAACCGGGGGCGATGACAAGAGCTGCAGGGCGAGGCAAGCGGGGCGCGGCTGGCGAGAGCAGGCGGCGGAGAGGCGAGCGGGGCGCGGCTGGCGCGAGCACGAGCCGGGCGCCGGGCGCGGCGAGCGCAAGCGCGAGCGGCGGTGGCGAGGCGAGCGCGAGCGAGGCGGGCGGCAAGCACGGCACGAGTGCGGCTGCGTGGGCACGTAGGCGAGGCGGACAGTTTGGGATAATCGCCGCGTCGGGCGCCTCCAGCAAGAGCCAGACATGCATGTCCGTTTCCGTTCTTATTGACATTCCAAATGGACGAAATCCAGACAAAAAAGATATTCGTTTGGGGTCGTGCGATGGAGTTGGCCTTACTAGCCGGCCAGCCAGCCCCTCCCAAAGACTCCTCTCCTCTCATCTCCTTGTCCGGTGCACTTTGTTCGATCAACGGAAAAGCATCCATTCAATTCCATACCATGTGATTGATGTCTCGGCACTTCCTTTTCCAAAGGGTAGAGGAGAAGGACCACGATGCTCGCTCTGTCACTGTCGCTGCCTCACTGTTCCCTTCCCCCACCCGTCCATAACTGAGTGGCCACCTTCGCACTGTGCCACTACAAGCACGCATAACCACTTTGGCGGCCTAAATGCTTCACTCATAATAACGCTCCTACTAATCCAGTCCAGTGGATCTCCTCAGCTCGGTTGATAAGTGTCGCAGGCCCTCGTGCTTCTCCGTTTCGTTCGTTCCCGGGCGAGGCCGACGACGAAGCTGCGTCGTCCCCACGGTGATTTGCTTTATCCATTTCCATCTGTTTGCATGATGCCTCACTTGCAGTTCACAGATGCTTGCAGTTGCACTTGGATCCCAATCTCATCACAAGCAATAAAGAAACCATATTTGCCTCCATGGATTTGCTCAGCCCACATGGCGCCTTGCCCATGCACATTCCCTCCTCCTTCTAATCTTCTTCCACCTTTGATGCAGCTGCAGCTGCTCCCATGTGATGTGCTGCTAAGCTGAGCGGAGCGGAGCTCGTCTCACTCCGGACTGACAGCACGGCACCGGTGGATTGGATCTGTCCTTCCAAGATCGATGGACCGGTCCTGCTACTTCCCGCTGCGGTGGGAGAGCACCGGCGACCAGTGGTGGTACGCCTCGCCCATCGACTGCGCGGCGGCCGATGGCCACTACGACATCGTCCGCCAGCTGCTGCACCTTGACCCCAACCTGCTCATCAAGCTCACCTCGCTCCGCCGGATCCGCCGTCTCGAGGCGCTCTGGGACGACGACGCCCGCTTCGTGCACGCGCCCCGCCACCGCGCCTCCGTCGCCCGGGGCCTGCTGCTGGAGTGCGAGTGCAAGCACGGCGCCGAGAACACGCTGCTCCGGGCCGGCTACGGCGGCTGGCTGCTCTACACGGCGGCCTCGGCGGGGGACGCGGGCTTCGTGCAGGAGCTGCTGGACAGGGACCCGCTGCTCGTCTTCGGCGAGGGCGAGTACGGCGTCACGGACATGTTCTACGCGGCGGCGAGGGGCGGCAACGCCGACCTGTTCAGGATGCTGCTGGACCACGCCATGTCCCCGAGGTGCTCGACGTATGGTCGCGACGGGGATAGCACTGGCGCCGGCGCCGGTGACCGCGCCTCGGTGTTCCGGCTGGAGATGATGAGCAGGGCTGTACACGCTGCCGCGAGAGGAGGGAGCGTGCGGATGCTGAAGGAGCTCATCGACGGTCGCTCCGACGTGTCGGCGTATCTTGATATCCGTGGATCCACCGTGCTTCATGCAGCTGCTGGGAGAGGGCAGCTCGAGGTGAGCCAACTGTTTCCTGCCATTGCTTACATCTTCTGTACATGTTTTTTGTTTAGTTTGTGTTCATCGTGTAGTTTAGATCTCGTTATCAGTAAAGAAAATGCTTTGGAATTTTGGTGCGTGATAATCGGTTTGCTTCAGGTATATTCGCCTTTCCGGTCGATAATTGGAATTGTGTAAAGGCCACTATCCAAAATGAAATGTCTAGTGTCATTCAAGGATAATCATTGTGTTATTTATGATAATTATCTAGGAGTACTTTACTTTAACATACAAGCACTATGATTTACTTTGTCAAAAAAAAGCACTATGATTTAATATAACAAGCATTGCAGTAAAGATATTATTGTTACTACCATCGTGATCAACACTTGGGAACGAGAGGTCGATCATCAGTAGACACTTGATTCCCTTTCTTAGTTGGATCAGCTCGAACAATTCACGATCCAATTTTTTTGTTAGAAGATTGGTACCAGTACACAATACTGAAACGTCAAAGCTCCAATCATGAGACCCCCTTCCAATAAACTGAGGCAAAAGCGAGTGTACTTCTACTTCTGTCCAGATAGAAAAAGAATTGGTACCAAACAACTTTTAGATCTACGGCTCCCTTTCTGTTTTCTCGATGGTGATATTCAGCCAACTTTCCTTCTGTTTCTTAATGTCGCATGTGATGGTTCTTGCTACTGTTGTCATTGAATTGTTAGGTGCAAAGATCCATTTATCTGAAAATTAGAAAATATCTTATGCAGGTTGTCACGTACCTGATGGCCTCTTTCGACATGATCAACTCAACCGACAACCAAGGGAACACTGCACTACATGTAGCGGCCTACCGAGGGCATCTGCCCGTTGTAAACGCACTGGTTGCTGCATCTCCATCAGCCATATCAGCTGTCAACAATGCAGGTGATACGTTCCTCCACTCGGCGATCGCAGGGTTCAGAACCCCGGGGTTCCGTCGGCTCGACCGGCAGCTGGAGCTCACCAAGCATCTCATTCGAGAGAGAGCCGCAGACATCCGGAAGATCATCAACCTGAGAAACGACACGGGCCTTACCGCCCTGCACATGGCTGTGATTGGCTGCGTGCATCCGGACCTCGTCGAGCTCCTGATGACCACGCCGTCCATCGACCTTAATGTCGAAGACGCTGACGGCACGACCCCGCTGGCGCTGCTCAAGGAGCAGCTGCGATCAACCACGTCGGAGAGGCTCATCAAGCAGATAGTCTCCGCCGGAGGGGTGCTGAGCTCGAGCGTGCTGAGAAGCCGGTCGGCCGTCGTTTCGCAGATAAAGATGCGGGGAGGGATCGCGATCAGTCCGGGCACCATGTTCAAGATATCGGATGCGGAGATATTGTTGCACTCGGGCATTGCGGCGACGGAGTCCCGAAGGGCTAGCTCGTGCTCTAGCGATGGCAAGTGTGACCCTGTACATGCGGATGCAAACGGCGAAGGTGACGAGAACCATGGATCGTCGGAGAAGAGGCTCAGCTCTGCCGGCCGAGCCAAGGACCGTCTCAAGATGATGCTGCGCTGGCCTCGCCACAGGGAGAAGATGTCCAGGACGCCGAGGAAATCCGAGGACGGCGGCCCGCTGGACACCATCAAGAAGCTGAACAGTCATGTCGCCGACACCCCGACTCCGCTCAGGCAGGCCTTCACCAAGACGACGGCGCTCAACAACAAGCGCACGCTCGCCGTCAAAAGCTCCGCCCCCAGCTCGGCCAGCAAGAAGAAGCTCATCCACGGCATCATGGAGGCCATGCCGCACCTCGCGGCGCCATCGGCATCAACCCAGTCCCCGCCGAGCACGCTCCCGAGGTCCTCCATGTCCTCCGCGCCGACGTCCACCAAGCTCAAGGACATCTGCTTCGAAGAAGAGGAGAGCACGACGGTGACGCCGCCGTTCGGCAAGCTCAAGGACATCATCCTGGACAACGACGACGGCGCGGACGACCCGTCGTGCTCGAACTCGTCCTTCGCCGACGAGGGGGTCGTCGGCGTGGCCGCCCGGAGGAACCACGGGTGCGGGAACGGGAGGCTCATCAACATCTGCTTCGGCGCGCAGGGGCTCACGGTGGAAGACTCTGCCAGCGGGCAGCCGACGAGCAAGATGTTCAAGCAGCAGTGCCTCCGGGTGTCCTGACCTGGCCTGCCTTCGGCTTTGCGGTTCAACGATGTGTGTGTGTGTGTGTTTTGAACTCCCCCGGTTTGGTTTGGTTTGGTTTGGTTTGGCGTGCTGCTCCGCGTACAAGGAGAAAATTCCTTATTTGACACTATTTTAAAATCTGCTTCCTTATTTGACACTGAAAAAATTTATCTTCCTTATTTGACACAACTTTTAAATGTTATTTCCTATATGACATTTTCGTCCATTTTGACCCTAAATGACACATGAAAAGACTCTTTTGCCCCTCATGTGGTATGTGTATGTGGGACAATAGCGCACACACGCAGCATCAGTGCGAGGGCAGGAGCACACACACAGCAACACATACACATGCACCAACACACACGCATGCGCACACACACGCAACAACACGCAGCAACACACATGCACACACACGCAGGCAGCACACACACATACATACACGCAGCAGCAGCAGCACACACAGGCAGCACATAGGCACGCAACAACACACACGCGCGCGCACGTACACACGCAGTAGCAAACACACACGCAGCAGCACACATGCACACACACATACAGCAGCAGCACACATGTGCGCGTGCACCCACACACGCAACAGCACACGCGTGCGCACACACATACCGCATTAGGGGCAAAATCGTCTTTTCGGGTATCATTTAGGCTTAAAATGGACGAAAGTGTCGTATAGGGAATAAAATTTAAGACTAGTATCAAATAGGAAAGAAAAATATTTCCAGTATCAAATAAGGAACCAGATTTTAAGACAGTGTCAAATAAAGAATTTTCTCGCGTACAAGAGCGAGGTGTGATTGATTTGCTGAGATAAATTCCGTGTATCTATCATAGTAAGGCGTGCTTGATTTTTGCAAGGGCTTAAGCTTGCTATCATCAAGTTATCGACGTAATTCCCCTATACATATACACGAAATGTTTGAGCTATACCAAGCAAACTTAGGCTCAAACAACACGGGCTAGCTACGATGGAAATGCATTTTGGAGCCCCTTTAAAAAGCACGAAAATAATTTAATTGATGTTTTGAAAAAAACTGAAATAGTTTTACATGCATATAATATATGTTTTTTCTTCGAAAATGAACGCTTTATTACTTAAAAGATTTAAGCATTACACCTGTCCTCCGCATAACTAAGAAACACACAGCCAACAAAGTCCTCACACCAAGTCAAAATAAAAGAAGAAGACAATATACAAGAAAAAATAAATTATTTGTATAACGCCTAAACTGAAGGTGGCCTAATCCTAAGATCATGCTGCCATCCACGCTGGATAAAAGCATCCCTCACCGTAGCCTCCAATCGTGTACACACCTCCGTAAACATGTCTCGATTCTTCACTCGTTGTAAAGAGGACCATAAACGAAAAGTCCCGGTATATTATGTGTTTGTGTGAAGAACTTGTTTCCTTGTAAATTTTAGTATTTTACCTAAATAGTTATGTTGTTAATGAGGGGATTCGGTTTAGCTAAAGGTATGCGTTGAGTAGGTAACAAAATAGTTGGATAGTCATCATACAAAATCAGAGAAAAACATAGTTCGATAGTTAGGAGAATGATGTGATGGACAAGACCCAACCTTAAGCTTAGCAGTTGATCGTATCAGTTTATTGTTATAGCTTTTTTCATGTCAATTATCCATTCCTAAGACCATGAGATCGTGCAACTCCCTGACACGATAGGAATACTTAGTATGTATCCAAACATCACTTCGTAACTGGGTGATCATAAATGTGCTCTACATGTATCACCGAAGGTGTTTGTTGGGTTGGCACGGATCGATACTGGGATTTATCACTCCGTGTGACAAAGAGATATCTCTGGGCCCTCTCGGTAATACAACATCGTACAGAGCTTACAAGCAATGTGCCTAATGAGTTACTCACGAGATCTTGTATTATGGAACGAGTGAAGAGACTTGCCGGTAACGAGATTGAACTAGGTATGGAGATACCGATGATTGAATCTCGGGCAAGTAATTGTTGGGGAACGTTGCATGAAAAACAAAAAAATTCTATGCACACGCAAGATCAATCCATGAAGATGCATAGTTACGTGAGGGGGAGAGCACCTACATACCCTTGTAGATCGCTAAGCGGAAGCGTTTATCAACGCGGTTGATGTAGTCGTACACCTTCACGATTCGTTCCAATCAAGCACCGAACGTACGGCACATCCGCTTTCAGCACACGTTCAGCTCGATGACATCCTCGCCTTCTTGATCCAGCAAGAGGGGCGGAGTAGTAAATGAGTTCCGGCAGCACGACGGTGTGGTGACGGCGGTGGTGAAACTATTTCCGCAGGGCTTCGCCAAGCACAATGGATTTAGAGTGAAGGATGAACCAGATGGAGGAGATTAGAACCACACTGGACTTCTAATTATAAGGATTTGAGGTAGCTAGGGCTAGCTCTAATGAGTCAACCAGGACCAACTAGAACTAGAACTAAATCAACTAGAGGAGGCTCAAAAACTTGTGTTCTAGGGGCTAGCCCTGCTCCTCTATTTATATGTTGAGCCCTATGGTCGTTACTTGGGGAGAGGGCCTCCCTAAAGTCGGTTTGGAACGCAAGGAAGAGTCCTTCTCGGATTCCAGCACCAGACGCCATGGTCCTCGGCGTCCGGCCTAGACGCCAGGGTCCATGGCTGTCGGCGTTCTGGGAACGGGGGTCCCCAGACTTGCCTACCTGCGGCCCACGGCATGGCTAAGCCAGCAGGCTGTACGGCCCATCTTCATCAACAAGGCATCCAAGACCCTCACGAGGGTCCAAGCCTCGCGAGGCAGACGACGCAAGACCTCCACTGGAGTAGCCTAGCCAAGCAGGCTCACGAGGAGCGGACATATCAAGGCGGGGCAAACCTCATGAGGCCCTCGTGACGTGAGCCATGACGCACGACACCAGGCGGGCGCCAGCGCGCGCAGCGTCCTTATTTCCTCTTTGGTGCTAAGGAGGCCAGCGCAGGCGAAGAGTACCGAGGCATCAGGCAAATGTTGCTATGTTGGTGCAACGAGACCAAGACCAGGAGGACGGCGAGACGGAGGTCATCGTGGAGCCCAAGACGACGTCACCAACAGAGCTTTTCGCAGGCGAAGACCACTTTTGTCAGGATAGCTTGTACTAGTTGTCCCCCTTTAAATTGGCCCACCATTGTTGGCTCCCTTCCCGCTCGATATTTGGGAAGAGGACCATGGCCTATATAAGTAGAGCTAGCCACCATAGTAGAGGCATCTGATCTTAGCTTGATCCAACCCGATCGAGAGCCTACTCACAAGAACACCTCAACCTTAGGAGGTTGTTCTTCCCTTGTACTGTTCATCATCAGCCCTAGAGGCAATCCACCACTACCACACTGGAGTAGGGTATTACACCACAAGGGTGGCCCGAACCAATATAAACCTCGTGTCTTTCTATGTTGCGATTTCGTTGAGTTCGTCCGCGAGATCTTAGCGAGCTAGGGTGTAGATCGGTAGGAAAGAAAGACTTCGCGTGCACCCCAGTGTTCGAACCTTAAGGGTTTGCCGGAACCCCACATCTGACATTTGGCGCGCCAGGTAGGGGTGCGTCGGGGCTCCTCTCCACCAACCTGCACCATGTATCGCCGCACTACGCTCCCATGGCAGGTGCCCCGCCACCCACCTCTGCGGCCAACACCAGCAGCAGGGAGTCTGGGTACCGAGCCCTGGCCCCCGCCCTGCGGCGAGTGCAGTGGCCGGCCAAGTTCAAGCCGGAGATGCCGCCGTGTTACGACGGCGCGGCAGACTCGGCGTCGTCCCTGCTGGCGTACGAGGAGGCCGTCCTCGAAGCCGGAGGCGACGGCAAGATCATGGCCAACTGGTTCCCCATGGCCCTCGCCGGCGAGCCGCGCGCTTGGCTGCTCAACCTCCCGGGTTCCACGGTGGCATCCTAGGGGAGCTCCGCAACCTCTTCACCGCGCGCTACACGGTGCCGGCGCACCACGCAGTCGCGACACTGTTGGGTGGATCTCAAGCACCGCCTTCAGATCGCCACGTCAAACCTTTCTTCCGTCAGATTGGGGCAGCCTCCAAGTGCCCAGGGGCTCCGCCGGGTTGGGCTGCGCCGGAGGCCAACCTCACCTTCGGCTCAGAAGACCACCCCGACTCCACCGCCGGCTCCAGGATGCTGCCGATGCTCTGTTACCAAGACCCTCATCGACAGCGGCGCCAGCCTCAACTTGCTCTCCATAGAAGCCTTCAGCCTTCTTCATGTGCCGCTCGAACGGCTCGGCCTCAGCAAGCCCTTCACTGGAGTGGGTGGTGGAGCTGCCCACTCTCTGGGGCAGATCCGCCTCCCTGTCACTTTTGGCACGCGAGACAACTATCGCATCGAGCTGGTGGACTTTGACATCGCCCGCATCGGTCTCCCGTACAATGCCATCCTCGGGTACCCGACTCTCGCTCAGTTCATGGCGGCGACTCACCCGGCCTACAACCTCATGAAGATGCCAGGGAGCAAGGGCGTCCTCACCATCAAGGGGGACGCTAAGGAGGCCGTGGCGGCGCTCAGGCTCGCCTTCAAGACTGCGGCAGCAGCACAGCCAGCCGGCGCCGGTATGCCCGAGGCCAAGGAGACCACGCCCACCAAGAAGAAGCAGTTGTTCACTCAAGACAAGGCGGAGACCAAGCAGGTGCCGGTCAACGAGGACGTGTCTTCAAGAGCCACCTTCACCATAGGAACAGGCCTTGACCCGGGACAAGAGGAAGCTTTGGTGAGATTTTTGCGCGCGAACAAGGAGATATTCGTGTGGGGGCCCAATCAGCTGGTAGGGGTCCCAAGAGAGGTAATCAAGCATCATCTAAGGGTGTGCCCCAACGTACGCCCCGTGAAGAGGCGAGCAAGACGGCAGTCCAGTGAGAAGCAGGCCTTCATCGTCCAAGAGATGCGCAAGCTGGAGGCGGTAGGTACAATCCGAGAAGTTCGACACCCCGAATGGCTGGCGAACCCCGTCGTAGTACCAAATAACGG